TGAAATCCAGATGCTGGGGGTCAGGTGAATTAACACCAAGCCTAGAGATATAGCTCAGTGACAGAACATTTGCCAGCATGCACAAGACCCGGGGTTTGAACTTCAGTCCCACAAAAGCAACTTACTTCTGACTTAAAGGTAATTGAGTGCCACAGACAAGACTTGGAACCCAGATGTTTACAGATGCCCAATTTCAAATAACTGAAGGGGAAACATCACAGATTCTGGTCAGGTGGTAAAACTGACAGGATCCATATGATGAAATATTACTCATCCATGAAAACAGAATCCAGACTTAATGAAATCACCATGTGAATGAATTCTGAGAGCACTGTACTCAGAAAAAAGAAAGAAAGGAAGAACACACAATAAACTACATATTATCTGATCCTGTGGATAGAAATGTCCAGAACAGATCAATCCACACAGCTTGAAAGCTAATTCCTTGTTGCCAGGAGCTCAGGGAATCAGGACTGGGAACTGAGTAATAATGGACAGAGAGTTTCTTTTTGAGAGATGTTAAGAATGAATGTTCCCGAACCAGAGCATGAGGATAGTGACACTGCATTATCAATGTACTTACTAAATATATTTTACCACAATCAGAAAAGTGTTTTAGCCAGTAATGTTGAACTCCCAGCATTTGGAAGGCTGAGGCAGGAGCATTGCCATGAGTTTGAGGACAGGTAGACCCTATCTCAAAAAAAAAAATCCAACATCATGTCCTCTCCATTTAATGAAAGTTGCAGCAGACACAGGGAGAGAGACACAAACAGAGATACAGGGCACAGGGCACACTAAGGTCCCTGGCACCTCCCTGGAGCATGTCAAGTGTTCAGTGACAAAGAACAGATTTCAATTCCCACAAAGGAACTGGTGACAGGATGGGAAATAACTGGTCAATGAATTTCATCAAGCCAAAGAAAAACCAGTTAGACCAGTTACCAAGTCACCAAGCAAGCCAGCCAGAACTATCTCTTCATAAGTACGCACTGACCTCTATCCAGCGTCTTCCATAAATGATTGAGACAATAGCCTCTCACAAGAAAAAAACAGAAAAATGAAGTTTTCCATTGATAGCCCTAAGAATCTTCCAGAAAACTCTGCGCTCATCAGGCCTCTAAGTCTGTTTGAAATTCACTATTAAAGATCAGAGCACTAGGGACAGGGGAGATGGTTCAGTGGGTAAAGTGCTTGCCTGCAAGCATGGGGACCTGAGTTCAGATCCCCAGAACCCATGTAAAAAGCCAGGGCTGGAGGCGGGCACCTGTAATCCCAACAGTGGGAGCTAGAAGCAGCAGGATCTCTGCGGCTTGCTAGCCAGCTAGGAAAACTAACTTGCTGAGCTCCAGGTTCAGTAAGAGGACCTGTGTCAAAAAATAACACGGGTGGCCAGCAAGATGGTTCAGTGGGTAAAAGCATTTACCATCAAGCCTACCCAACCATCTGGGTTCAGTTCCTGGGGACCCACATAGTGGAAGGAGAGAACCAACTTCCCCAAGTTACCTTATGATCTCTACCAGCACTCTGTGGCACACATGTACTCCCACTCACACATACATTCTCTGTCTCTCTTATTGCACACACATACTCACATATTCTCTCTCTCTCTCTCTCTCACACACACACAGGAAATGATAGATAGATAGATAGATAGATAGATAGATAGATAGATAGATAGATAGATAGATGATAGACAGGTTGACTTATGTTAGGCATAGTTTGGGGTTAACAACTAGTAATAAAACATAACAATGTGCTGTAGTAAACATCATGTAACAGTGTTCTGTCTCTCCCTTCCTCCTTCCTCGGCTCTCTCAAATAGTTTTTAAGCTTTCAGCTCTTACTTAAACGAGTGGTTCTCAACCTGTGGGTCATGACCTTTTTGGGGTCACATGTCAGACATTTACATTATGATTCATAACAGTAGCAAACTTACAGTTATGAAGTAGCAATGAAAATAACAGACTTCAAACTATAAAATGAAATAAACCCTTTCCTCTCCAAGTTGCTTTTGGTTGAGTTTACCACAGCAATTGGAATGCTAACTAAGACATCCCCCAACCCTACTATCCAAGAGTCCTCCTCAGGAGTTCCCATAAAAACCTCACCCACAAGTCCCAGGATTCCATACCCATTCGTCCTTTGAGCTCAGGTGGGGGCAAAAATAAATAACATTTCCTCCCCTCCCTTCTCCTGCCTTTTGTGTGCTAACCCCTAAGCCACTCACTCCCTTTCTCCCATTCACCAGTCCTTCCCAGGGAATTTTACAACATGTGAATGAGGTCACTGGAGCCATAAACAGCTAATGAACTGCTCTCCTGGATATCAAAACACAATAAAAGGTAGTGCTCAGAACAGAAATGACCCAGGTACAGGAGAGAGAGGAGCAGAAATGACCAGCAGCCCAGGAAAGGAGAGACTTTCCCTCTTTCTCTCTCTCTCCTTTTCTCCCTCCTTTAGAATAGAATGCCTCCCTTCTTCCCCTCTGGTCTCTCTTTCCTTCTTTTGTCCTGAGGTTCAAGGTTTCATTTTATAACCTTGCATTTGCTACCTTCTGCCTCAATCTTCCCAGGACTGGGATTACATATGCTACTACATTTAACTTGATTTCTGCTACAAACAGCATCAAGACACGCCCCCTCAAGAGTCTCTGTGGGCACACAGATGCTCCCCCACTGAATCATGTACATGGAGAGCTCACCAGTGATAAGAGTGGAAGGTTTTCTACATGTGATAGTTAATATTAAACAGAAATGTTACAGGGAGATGCTCTTATGGGTAGAGACTTGATAAGTTTAGGCATAAAAATGGTATGTGAAAACGAGCTCAGAGCCCCTGATTTAAAATGCCCCAGTGAGAGGCTGGGAGCGTACTCTGTGGTACAGCTTAGTCCTCTATCCTCATCAACACCATCACTCTCCAGTAGCTCTGAACATTCAGGAATTTTTTCTCCACTGAACAAGAAGAGTCACATATGACACTGACAAAGAACTGGCAAGCTTCAAAGAAGAAAAGGACAGATTAGATCCTGCAAAGCCCAGAGAGGTGCTCAGACAAGGAAGGGAGTGGTGCAGAGAAACCCTGAATAATAAACATGTTTTCAAAGGCTCTGCCCTGAAATCAAACACGTACCAAGATAAACAGTCACAGTATAGGCTTCGCACCCACTCCAGGACTTTGGGAAAGATTTTTAAACAACATGCAAAGGCCAGTTCTCCCCATTCAAGGCTGGGAGTCCAGTCCACAGGTCCAACATTTCTGGAAAGCCATTTGGCAATCCAAATCAGGAGCCTCTGACCCAGAAATTTCATTTCTGGAAAACAAGCCTAAAAGAAACAAACATGGAGCTGGGGAGATGGCTCGGCAGTGAGGAGCACTGGCTGCTCTTGCAGAAGATGTGGATTCAGTTCCCAACACCCACGAGGCAGCTCACAACTGTCTGTAACTGCAATTCCAGGGGATTCAACACCCCTTCCTGGCATCTAAGGGCGCATGTGTGATACACACACAATCTTGCAGGCAGAACACACACACACACACATAATTGTTAAAAATAAAACTTGAAGTCCAAAACAACCAAATTCAGAAAGACAAAGGCAAAGGCAAAAGATCCATGAAGGGAGCAGAAAAACAGCTCAATGGTAAAGGCACTTGGCCCCAGTCTGATGACTGCCTGAGCTTGATCCTCAAGACCCACATATGTGAAAGGAGAAGAGTAACTCCTACAAGTTGTCCTCTAGCTTCTGTGTAGGTCATAGCACAAAGGTGCACACTCATAACAGACAAACATGCATGTACACACACACACACACACGCACACACGAATAAAAATAGATGTAAAAATGTACTCATCAAAGTTGAATTTTTTACACATTTCTTTTTCTGAGTATCTCTTACAAACTGACTTCCAGAAGCAAATAAGAAAAACATGCATGGTCTACTCCTCACTCAAGCAGAGAACCACAGCAACATTCACTGTCCAGCACAGAGGTTGGCAAGCAGCCTTCCACTTACTTTTATATATAAAGTTTTTTGACATACGAACCACACCCATGTCTTGACAACTAACTGTGGTTGGTTGTCTACCACAACGGCAGGATTCAGCATACTCGTTCATCTCTCCCTATTAAAGATTTCACTTCCCACAGTCTCAGTAACCCACAGTTAACTGTAAACTAGCAAATGGAAGATTCCAGAAATGATTGATTCATGTGTTTTCAATAGTGTACTCTTCTGAGTGGCACAATAATATCTCAAGATGTCCTGCTTGGCTACACTTGAGATGTGAATCAGCTTCAAGTATAAGACCAGTTGTGGGCTGGGCGGTGGTGGCGCACACCTTTAATCCCAGCACTTGGGAGGCAGAGGCAGGCAAATCTCTGTGAGTTCGAGGCGACCACGCTGGACCGACAGCCTCCAAAATAATACAGAGAAACCCTGTCTCGTAAAACCAAAAGATAAAAAAAAAAAAAAGACCAGTTGTGAAGACATGATGGTTATATTCAGTTACCTTCATTTTACTCAATGGGGTCCCCCAAGTGCAAGAGCGATGTGATGATGCTTGTCATTGTATGGGAGAATATCATTGTACAATATTGGTTACGACTGTTAATTTCTTAACAAGTGACCCTCAGAGGCCAGGGATGCTAGATCTTCTCAGTGATACGGGTGCTAGAAACTGAACATGATCCCTCTAGAAGAGCAGCAAGTGCTCTCAAATGCTGAGCCATACCCCAACTCCCTCGGTTTAGTTTTGTTATGGTATTCTATCATAGCAATAGAAAAGTCTAGATATATATAGACACACATATGAGATACTATACAAGCACCACAGTGAAGTGTATCTCTCACAGGAAAGAGGGTGAGTATAGCTTTGGTGGAGATTCTAGGGTTTGCACTCTATAGCCTTCATCACCTAAATCTTTGGAGAAGTCTCCCATCCCTGGGGCTAGTGGCCAGGGAGCAATAGCTCAGAATGGAGCTTGCCTCCAGCATACCTTTCTGACAATGACTGTGTGTCCAGCAACGTTCCACAAACTGCCCATTGATGACTGTGGCAGGGCAATTAGTCTTGCCCTTGGCGGTGCCTGGACAGACATCCCCACATTCCTCATTGTCATCTTTGTTCAGCACAATGTAGTTGTCCTCCACAGAATCCAGGATCCGGGACCAGTCAATGGTGGCCAGGTAGCAGAGCTCATTATTCTTCTCAATGCGGACAGAGCCCCGGGTGATGTTCATGAGATTGTACAGCCCCAGCTCCTTCAGGTGGACCATCTCAAAGATGACCAGGCCATAGTTGAAGAAGAGGCGGGAGCCTCGGATAACTGTAAGGTTGGGGAAGAGGTCTTTCAGACTCTCCAGGCCATAGACACGGAAAAGAAGCAAGTAGTCTGTGATCATGATGAGTTTGGGGAAACTGAGGTCTCGGAAGTCTTCAGGCCTGGTTTTGAACATCAGGAGGATCTGCAGGTGGCCCTCAATAACCGAGCAGTTCTCCAGCTCATGCAGCCTGGTCAGGTTGTTCCGGATGTCCATGCCAGGGCACACTAGAGGGCAGACAACAAAAGCAAAGTAGGTGAGCCTGGGACTCGAGAACAGCTAACAGAACCAGAGTCTGAGGGATGGCAAAGTGTTTGCTGTGCAGGCATGAGGACCTGACACCCATGCCCAGGACCCATGTAATAAGCTGGTGTGGCAGCAGGTGTCTGTGAGGACTGGGAACATGCAGAGACAGAAAGATCCCCAGGGCTCACTGGGCTACTCGTATCAGTGAACTCCAGGCCACTAGGAGACCCTGTCTCAAGAAACAAAGTGGACAGCTCCTAAGAATGACTGTCACTTGAAGTTGAATTCTGGCCTCTAACACAGACACACACACACACACACACACACACACACACACAGAGCACTCTCAGTCAGTACAACACAGAGACTCCTGCACATCTATGTTCACAATAGCTCAGATATGAAAGCAGTTTAAAATTCCATCAATGGATAAACAGATAAAGAAAATGTGGTACATATTGTATTAGACATCTCCTCAATAGCCAAGTTATAAAACAAGCAACCAACAGATGGGAACTGGCTCAGCTGGCAGACCACTTGCTCAGCATGCAGAAAGCCTCTCAGTCCCATGCCCAGCACACACTGGACATTGTGGTGCACATCTATAATCCCAGTATTTAGGAGGTAGTGGCAGGAGGGTCAGGAGTTGAAAAATCATCTTTGGCTGCATAGCAAATAAAAGGCCAGCCTGGGCTATTTGAGACGGTCTCAAAAATAATAATAACAAAGAAAATATGGCATGTAGGCACAATGGAGTATTAGTCCGCCAGATAGAATGAGATAATTACATATATTACATATGCATTATGTACGTGCATGACAGAAGCAGAAAAGAGACCAGTTGAGGTAAAGAAAGACACCTGTGGGTGGGCAGAGGAGCAAGTAAGAATAATGGGGCAGGGGGGATGAGCAAGGTACAATCATATAGACACAAAATGACGCGGCTTGAAACCCATTCTTCAGATGCCAACCAGAAAACTTAATGGGGGAAAGAACCAGGGCTCCTTTTCAATCTCCTGGTTGTTCACAGTGACAGGTCAACATGAGCAGGTGCCTCTTCCATATACAGATTTCATGAAGTTTGGAGAGTTTCCCAGTAAAGGATGATCTATTTCCAGGCTTTGAGAAGCCTCTATACTGGTTTCCCAAAGACTGTACCAGCAGACATTCCCACCAGCTGCATTTGTTATTTCTTATCTTTCTAATAATAGCCATTGCCATAAATGTCCATCGGTGGATGAATACATAACAATATATGGTATGCTAGGGGTGGAGGCTACTTGTAACCCCAGTGACCTCGAGGTTGAGGCAGGAGGATTATGAGTTTAAGGATAACTTGGGATACATGGACTGGACCGGCAGACCCGAGGGTTCAGGTGCAGAGGCCCTTCCTAGAATCCCCCAGTGAGGGACTGGGGGTGTGGCTCAGGGGAAGAGACCCTGCCTAGAATTCCCCAGTGAGGAGGTGGGGCAATGGTTCAGAGGTAGAGGCCCCTGCCTACTGTGTACAAGGCCCTCTGTCCAATCCCCATCAGAGAAGATGGAAAAGCTACAATTAGGACCAGTGCCAGTTTTGTGGTCACCCACTGCATTTCAAATTCCTAAGCCAGCCCCCATGAATGGCTTTGCCTGTAAAGCAACCAAGCCTAAATAATTCCTTTCAAAAGGCAAAGAACATAATTCCTTTGGCAAGTTCAGTTAGAAGCCTTCACACAATCATCACCCTATCTATGAGGCAATCGGCTCAACAGGAGGGTTGAGTAAGATGTCAAGTGCAGAGGAAAGGGCAGCCGACCCCAGCCCCTGAGCCTCAGCAGGAAGTTCTTCAGGAAATGACTGGCAGGAAAATGCACTCACATCAGAATGGGGCAAGGAAAAACTGATGTCTTTGTTTTGTGTTCACCTGGCTGGCTCTGCTTCTTTGGCCTGCTCTCCTGGAGGCCAATCAAGGTCTAATTACCTTTTACCTGGGTGTGGCAAGTGCTTCCCAGGAAACCCAACCTCCATCTCTTTGCTCAAACACAAAGGGAGTGCAGATTCTCTTAATGGTGGTGTGCCTGCCAAGTTTCAAGCCCCTCCACGGCTTCCCCCGGCCCCACACGCTTCGCAATCACAGACCTCAATATTCCTAAAAACCCTGCATCCTGTAAGCCGTGTGCACTGGTTGGTTTTTGTCTCCTTGACACCAGCTTGAGTCACCTGGGAAGAGAGAACCTCAGTTCAGAAACCATCAGACTGCCCTGGAGGCAAGCCTGTGGGGCATTTTCTTGATCAATGATTGATTGATGGGGGAGGACCCAGACCACCATGGGTGGTGCCACACTCAGGTTCCTCCATGGTCTCTGCTTCAGTTTCCAGCCCCAGGTTCCTGCCTGGAGTTCCTTCCTTGACATTCCTACATGAGAGACTATATATAAGCTGTAAACGGAAATAAACCCTCTCCTTCCCAGGTTGCTTTTGGTCATGGTGTTTATCAAAGCAACAGTAAACAAACTAGAACACCATGCTCTCCCAAACAATAGCAAAACTCCTGTCCCCTGTGTCATATGACCTGTCGGGGAAATAAAGAAACGATGAATTCAAGACAACAGAGCCCAGGCATTGGATGGTATACAGTAGATGCTCAATTCATGTCACCTGTGTTGATGTTTCTTTTCCCCCAAACAGGTAACACACATGTCTGAGTGAGTCTGTCTTGTGCACTCGCAAGCCCCACCTTCGCCCCAGCCAAAAGGGCAACAGTGTCATTCTTCCTCAGATGCCTTCCACTATCTCTGTGAGACAGTTCCTCTGTGGCCTGAAGCTCACAGAGTAGGCTAAGCAGGCAGGTCAGTGAGGCACAGGAATCCATCTGTCTCTTCCACCCAGCTATGATTACAAGCATGGGCCATCACTCCTGGATTCTCGGGCTCTGGGGAACAAATTCAGTTACTCACGCTTAGAAGTCAAGTCCTCTATTGACTGAGCCATCTCCCATCTCCCCAGCTTCCTTTTCTTTTCCACCTCATCCCCCTTCCCTTCCTGCTCTGCCCCAGGCTCCCAAGGCAAAGGTGAACCGTTTACCAGTTGAGCTCTCTCCAGCTTCTCCTGGCTACTCTGGGCCTCAGCCTCCCAAGCACTGGCATCACAGGTGTGCACCACCACACTCTGCTTAGCTCCAGGCCACAATCCCTTAGAGCCATTCAGAAGCCACCCACTCAGCAGCCCTGATTTCCCTTCCTGTGAGGACCTCTGTTTGGGTCTCCCCTTCTTTGTGTTCCTTCCATATGAGTTAGCACTCATCAGAATCAAACTGCTTAGATGGCATTTCCTACCAAATTCTGCACCATACAAGCCCTGGTTATTTTATCCTAAAACACCCAATATCTCTGAGGCAAAGAGACTCTTTAAATGTCCCCCTTTAAGTCCACCCTGGAGCTACTGAGACGGCTCAACAGGTAAAGGTATTGTTAGAAACCCCGATAAAAGGAGTTCAATCCCTGGGCCTCACATGGCAGAAAGAGAAACACCCTCTGACCTCCACATGTGTACTGTGGGACATACATGGGCACTCCACTCACAGGCATGCACACACACACACACACACACACACACACACACACACACACACACACACACACACACACACGGGGAGGGATCTAATCTGAGGATGACGAATGACATACAAAAGAAGCAAAAGTGACTTGGGGAAGAACATCCCGAAGCTCTTGGATTTGGTGCTCTTGCCTCATAGCACACACAGAGCACATTAATCTCTATTAACAGAAAAGCCCCACATTTATTCATGAGGAAGTAGAAAACCCCAGCCCCAGGCAACAGTAAAAGCGCCACCCTGCCCAAGACACTTGCCAGTCAAGCTCTGAACTGAGCAGAAGGCCCCCTGCAGTGGTGAAGCCTGAGCTGGGAGACAGCTTTGAAGAGATCAGGATACCAGCTTAAACACCACGTAGTCACACCAAGCAGGTCGGAGGTTCCTGACACCTCAATGGCTTCCAAGCATAGCCATACTGACAGATGCATTGTGTCACAGTTAATGTTGATTGACAAGTGGGCAGGATCTAGAAGCACCCAGGGGACAAGCCTGTGTTGTGAGAAGTCTCTACACTTGGGTTAACTGAGATGGGAAGACCTACCCTGAATGGGGCCAGCACCATCCCACAGGCTGGGGTCCTGGACTGAACAAAGAGAGAGCAAGCAATATCACAAGGACTTAATCAAGGGCTGGGGAAACAGCCCAGTGGTAACACACTTGCCCTGCTAATGTGAGGACTAGAGTTCTGATTCCAGCACCCCTAAGTGACAGATGGGTGTGACAATGTGCCTGCATTCCCAGCACTTGGAAGATGAGGAGGATGCCCAGAACAAGCTGGCTTGATAAACTAGATGAACAGGTGAGCTCTGGGTTCACATGAGAGACCCTGCCTCCCTTGCCTCATGGAAGGCATGTAATACCAACCTCTGGCCTCCACATATATGCACAGACACATGAATTCATACACATGCTAACATGCATATGCACATCCATGCACCACAGATGCAAAAGAGAAAGGAAGAGAAAAGGCTCCGTTAGAAAAGTCCTTGCTGTGTTCTATCATCAAAACCACATAGAAAAGGAAGCACAAACGCATACACTTATAATTCTAGTGCTGGGGGGCAGAAGCAGGAGGATCCTGGAGGCTCACAAGCAGGTCAGCCTACCTTAGACAGTGAGCTCCAGGTTCAATGAACCCTGCCTGAAAATAACAAGGTGGACAGCACCTGAAGAATGACACAAGAATGACCTCTGGTGCACTGGTGAAATGGTGGCACAAAAGCTATGGGAGTCGCCAGCCACTATGGGAATGGATTTAAGGTCCACTCCATAAGATGGAGTCCATACCTGAGAACGCTAACGTGGCCATGAACCTGACACTAGATAGGCCATGGAAAACCTAACCCAATGATACTGCTAAAGGAACAACTCCTAGTAACATACTCAGTGCCTCACTCAGCCATCATCAGAGAAGTCTCCTCTTGCAGTGGAGGGGAAACAG